ATGTCTGAGAGCAGGAGGTTAAAAGAATTGAAATGTAGAAAAGAGAGAAAGGAAACTGAAAACAATCGGTATAACAACAGGAATGAAGAAGCAATCAAGCTTGTAAGGGGTTATTCGAAGACGATATCCAAATGATGTACTTGACGTATGATTTACACATTTCACCAAACCACTTTGTGACCGCGCATTAAACAATGAATCAGTCTTCTCCATCTGAGTGTTCATTCACGATAAATTTCTGAGAAGACTGAGGTTACCCAGTGCGGAATAGCAACACCACCGAGAACAATTGTGGCTGTAGAAATTACACTAGCCAGGAACTTCCAAATATAATTGAATAATGCTCAATAAGATTATATTTCGGTCACCGAGTAATTAAAAACCTTCATTTTTAACCACATGACGAAATTTTCTGTTACATTCCAACGTGTCACACTGCGCTCTTCAGTGTAATGGTCACATCAGTCACAAAGTAATTATGACTACACAACAAACGGGATTGAGTATGTCCGATTTTTAGGGTTGTCAGTAATATCATTATTAAACAAGCTCTGTCAGGTATGGTTGTTATAGTACGTTCCAGCTTGAAATCAAAAAGTCTTTAATCAGATAATCAGTTGGCGAGTCTCAGGCTTCTCGTAATTTGCCTAAATCCGAATGTAATTTCTTTCGTTTGACTTACGTAAGATTTTTGGAAACCAAAGCAGTCGAACTATGTGTTATACAGGTGGTCTTCAAAGTCAAAGATATTTCGGGATGTTTAAGTCTGAATGCGTTGTGAGAGCTATAAAGAATTCATCTCAGAGTCATGGACTTATTTACAGACGTTTCATCTTCCCTGTTACTGCTGACATTTTTGAATACTCACAGTCAATTACACCTCCTCTGAATAAAGTGGTGTGCTTATAGCCCAAAATAAGGGGTTGCTACAACGTGGGAGCACCTAATAACAGGTCATCTTTGTTGCTCACAGCAGTCTCGAAGATATTCAAAACATTTTAGGCTAGATCCCTCACATTTTTTATCAAATCATATCCTGTCTAATTCCTAACATGGATTTTTTTCTAAATATATTTCGAAATAATAATTTACTGGTCACGTGGAACAGCTGTACACTTTTGATAGGCATGTTTTTCCGTTACAAATTGGTATCTCAAATGTTCCTGAAGGAATAGACAGTTCGAGACTCTTCATTAAAAACGAAAACGCGTAGGTATTATTAATTACAAGATGGATAACCTACGAATTGCATCTTAAAAAATTACAGACCACTGACTCGGTTCACTAATTCCAATGAAGTACCACGAATGTCTGTGCTAGAGTTACATATTCCTTACCGTTTACTCGTGGCACATTAGGTGGGGTTTGTGATAGGGTGAATGCTTGGAAGGAACTCCGAAGTTTTCTGTTTGACAGTGCTGATACTTGCTTGAATATTTTTCTCCATTTTCTAGCATACCCATATATTTATCTAGGACTTGTGGAACAATGTTTTGACATCCCAACCCTGTTAACTAGAGAAAGAAGACTAGATTTAACCGGGGGAATACATAATTCCACTAACAACCCGGAACAGCAAACGAACAAGCATACAACCCGTGCATATACATACAATGCGAAAATGTTCTTGAGGGATGTTACAAAATAGCATAGTCATGAGGAAAACTCACCAGTTATCTTTAAGTTCTTCCTAGAGGAGGGCACAAACTGAGGGTAAAAATAGGCGCTTGTGGTGTGACGAGACACGAATTTCAATAATTAAATTACAAAAATGAGAAGTTTACCTGCCTGTTGACAATAAGATTTTGTCTTACCGAATTCAAGGTTGATGCGTGAAGTGATTGCTTGCTACCATATTCATTACTTATCTTAACTCTTCCAGATCGGACTTTAATCCCATACTGCTATGGACGTTCCTGTTGGACCTCAACTACTTAACAGGCTTATTTAGTAACCGGTCCTCGATGTTCGGTGTGTTATTTCATGTCAGTGAAATGAGTGACTGTATAATAGTCGAACAGCATTGTCGAGGTATTTTACATTTCTCGATGTGATTTGTTACTACTGGAAAGCGTCATAAATAACTGGACCCCGAATTGTAATTTGATATTGTTAAATTTGGGTCGTTGACAGTGAATTACTCAAGAAACCTTCGTACCCTGTACGGAAGAATGCAGTGGTTGTGTTCAATAAAATATGTTTTGGTTACTTAAAATCACTTTCTGAGTTCAGACCAAATCAACTGGTTTCGGTCACTACAAAGTTTACATACAGCTTGACAAATATTGTAGCTAACATTCGGTGTTATTCCGCTGTCCACACATAGAGTCTGTTTGTATGAACATGTAAAAATCATGGGAAGGTCCCTCCGTGAATCTTTCTCCCTATAACTATGCCTTTGTTCTTGTTTATATGTAACCTTTCTTCTGGTCATGAGCAAGAACAAACCTCCCACGATGCTCAGTAAGGTTTTGGAAAAGTGGATTGTGTTCCTTCAACCTAATGTTATCCTGAACAATGTGGCCAAGAAAGCGATTTTTACTATGTTTCCGATACCATAACAGTGACAGTATTCGTGGATTTTTCTTCATCACTCATTTCCTTGCAATAAAAATAATTGGGAGGATAAATAACCCCCACAGTGTGCGACGAGTTTGCCCAAAATGGAGTGGTTTGACACTTAGAGCCTTACAAGGAACCTTATTTGATCCTCATCTTTTCTATATTCTCATTAATTGTCTTTTAAAAAAATCCCAGTTCATTGATCCTCCTTTAAGCTTTTGATGTTAAACAGTTAAAATCTATCAAATACAAGGGTGACCTGTTGGTCACCGACGTACTTGATCTGTGTCTAGTGATTTAGGGTCCACTCAAGTTAGGCGGAGATGACATGACCAGCCAACTAACGTCGCAGTTACACCTCACAGTTATTGCTTAACATGGATTGCCATTTCGTTGTATCCAAGTACTATGGTTGCCGTGATGACAGTACAACACAAACAGTGCTATTCACGGGAATACATTGTTAAGAGCAAGTAAAGGAAGCAGATCACCACCAGCGCATGAGTTACTCTGTGGTGTGCAACAAATTTATGTTCGCTGGTAGTCCTCGATCCTGACACCGGTTGATAAACCGTTCAAACTTCTGTGATTCGACTGCCGGATCATTTGCTAGGGCTTAGTGGTATTGCACTGTCCTTACAGACTAGTAGCTGGCAGAGACAAACAGATGAGTCAACCAGTAATCGAATATTAAGATATGAATGTTATAGCTTGGAGCTAGTTATATACTTACTTTGTATCGGCACTAAATTTTTTACTTTCTCCTACTGAATAGTGAAATGTTTGTGTATTATGGTGATACAAGACTGTGATTCACCTGCTCTTCATACTGTGTAAAGAATTCTACAACCAGACTCTTTATCCATCGAGAATATAAATAACTGATCTTGATAAACCTTTTGCAACTCCAAAATAAACCAATATCGCTAGGGGACTCTGGTGAAAGTTAACACATTTACATGTCCATTGCCGCGGACATGTCGTAACGTACAACTTGCACAATTCAAGCCCACTACCTCCTTCAGCCTCGACAAAAATGAATAAGTCCTACTTTTTATCAGACGTTATAAACTAATGGCAATCACACTGGAAGTGTAAATAAACTGTATACTGTACTTCGCTTCCTTCACGAAAATGGAATGATCAACTCCGATTCACTACCAGCCATAATAAAAACACTCATGGACTCATTTTAAAAGTAAAATGTTGTTACATCTATCACAAAATATACTATAAATCTTTAGAGACAGTCAACAAACATAAACCAAAACAGGTTAAAAATTTAAGACATAAAACATGCAAGGATCCTGTCTGAGAAATGGTGTTTTTCCACTTAACTTATCGAAGAGAGATGGGCAATATGTTTACGATCACAAACATCTCTGCAAGATCATACTATTGGATGATCATTACGTTTATTCATATGGAAGTGCTCTATTGTTTTGGTTAACAAATCTACAGAACAAATAATTCTGTAAGTTATTGGCACTCGTAATGACCCCATTAGTTTCACTGGACATACCATGATTGAGGGGCTTGGTCACGCATCCTCACAAGATCACCATAGGGTACGCCGTTCTATGCATCCGTTGTAACAACTAGCCAGCTTAGATCAAATGCTCCTCAAAATATCGAATAACTTTTAAGTATATCCTCCCAGTCCTTCATTTCCGCCCTCTGGTTTGACCGGGTTTGGGGTCTCTCGATCACAAGAGTTGTCAAAGCCTGAGTATCTGTAACATCTTTATATGCGCCTGTTCTATATAATATGGCCTACAAATCGTCGCAACCACAGTCTCATCATTGGACTGTTGAATGTCTGTCAGAATAAGTCCACAGACTCACCTCCGCCAATTGGAACGATAAACGGTATTACAAGACGAGATGAAACCTCACTCAAAATGTTTCCTATTAACATGCTTCCGAGTACCTATCTCCATTATCATCTGAATTCCATCCTACTATTTATTTGTCTCCAAACATTCTACCTAACTTTCCTCTCCACTTTTTCCGTTCATACTGCAATATCCGGGTTCGACCTGATCGAAAATGAAGGCGTTGGGTTCATGACTTCCCTGGACTCGTCTTTCCCCATTATGCGTCATAGTCTTTCCATAAGAAAATCCTTTAACTCTCACACCATAGTTGAATTTGCTAACTCTAGCAAGTTTCCTTTTCATGAAATAAAATAGCTACTGATCTAATTACTCTACTATTCAATGAAGAAAGAATAAAAATAAAAAGTTCAAATCCATAGTTACTTTTCGTTAGGAAAACAGAGTTGGTAAATGCACTGTATCCGAAACAACTGAAGACATGAAATCCTACCTTGATGTCAAGATTCCAGTTCATAGAAGGAAATTGGCTTATGCTAACTCATCTGAAAGATATTGAATACTGAAAAGGCATAAATTTCTGATGTAGGGCTACTGATGGATACTGAATGTTTCAGTGGTCCTATTACTTCTGTAAACTTTCAAAAACATGCGGAAGAAACTACTGAGACATTCCCATCGATCCAAACTAAAACGGGGTTTTATACTATGTCTGGAATTCTAGATTTCCTGCAATTGGAATGGTCAAGAATGCAGTTAGAACGAACACAATGGGATGTTGAGAGAGCAGAATTGCATGTAAATTTTTTGTCTTTAGCTATTAGTTCGCTCAGGCAAGGATAGCATTCCTTCAGGGTAAATTCAGGGGGCTTGAATGTCTTCGGAATGATTTGATCCGTCGAATCAAAATGTTGGAATATGCATTAATAAGAGAAAGAAGTAACAAAACTCAAGATGGGCAATCCAAAGAAAACGAAGAAAATATGATAAGTGTGCATTTTTCTAGGTCTGATTCTGGTACAGACCATTTAAAAACAAATGTTGATAATGAATGGCAAAATGAAAATATCCAGCTGAGCAAGTAATTTTCCATTTTTGCTCACATACATAGGTACTTAATTGACTCATCTTCATCTAACGCTTCACACACTTTTGGTAACCCAGCACTGTGTGATGCTTCTGGCGTCAGTTTGCTAGTCGGTGATGGTCTCAGTTCAGAAACTAATGTTCTCCAAGGGTCTCTTAAATATGGTACGTAGTTGTTTTGAGCATATAATACATATGTATAAAGACTGGAAAATATTCACAAGTCAAGTTTCTATGAGTTAGGCCGTACGTTGTACTAGATTGTATAGTTACGGACAGAATTCCTGCTAGATTTTTCATTTTTTTTAAAAATAGTTGGTGTAACTTTGCTGCTAAACGTTCAAATTGTGGTTAGCGAATAACTAGACTAGTAAGTGTTCATCTGGACTCTAACTTAGTGGGTGACGCGTTGAAGTTCAAAACGGTAGTTAATCGGTCTGTCTGTTGTTATCAACCAATTTGATGCCTGGAGTTGGTTAGTTTCAAACGAGACGAAATATGCATCTTGGATTTCAGAGCTATTCACAGTCCGAATTTCTTGAAAACTTGTATTGGAAGGGCAGCATAAAGCCATTCAATTGAGATGTGCATATCGTTAACTGAAACAAATCAACTGCAGTCCCGAATATTAACAACAAGACGGCACACACCTTTGTACTTTTTCATCCTGCCTTTGTGTCCCTCGCTATCCCTGACATACAGAAACAGTAGCAAGTACATAAACCACATATACGTGTTATAGTTATAGTCATTGAAACTTCCATAGTTACGACGTGTCTCAACAAGATGTGAAAAATGTGTAACTGGAGGTCATATGATATCATTTAATTATATATAAAACCAAAGCAAAGCTGCTTTTCTGGCACTTTGAATTTTCCAATAATTTTTTGGCTAGTGTTTTACGAATGAGTCTATATTCGAATAATCAAAAATGTGCATTAGCAATTATTTTCAAATTCATGTATCAGAGATAGATCAGATTGGGCTGTATGGTAATCCTATATGGTATTACTTATCTGGTTCAGTCAATCCTTTTTTAACTTCATTTTCTATGATAGTTAAGATTCAAGTGTAGTGTTTCTTTTCATATATTAACTAGATATAAAATGCATATGATGTACAACATACGCAGGGAATCTCACCCAGGTTTTGTCATGTATATGTTCTCCTTACCTTAGTTAAACCCATCTAACTAGAATAGCCACCAGTCGAAAGCGATACTGACAAGTTTTTTAACTAGTATGTTTCGCAGTTTTTTCTTTATTTCATTGGGACTTTTCACAGTATTATTTCGTTGCTCATGTAGGTGATTCTGAGTTAAAGGGTTTACAAAATTCACTGGAACTTCCCATAGAACATTGTGGTTTAGAACAAAATAAACAGTCACAAGATGGTCCGTTTGACTTCAGTTTGTCTAACAGTTCCAGTTTCGACTACTTATCACTTACGGTATGTACCTATAATCTTTCGTTGGTGAGATTTTTTTTCATGTATTCATTCATGTGTGTAATTCAATAACCAGGTACAGACTCATATATTCAACTTTAAACCGCGCTCTAATAATATCTTCTGATACTATCCAGGTCCTGAAACTGAAATAGTTGTTTCTTCCTTTGTACTTGGAACTTCATGGTTGAAATATGGGTCTCTTAAACACTAAGTCAATATCCACTCGATCCTTACAGTGGTTCTGTAGATGCAATCATGTGATACCCTTCGATCATGATTTTCAAATCTGTTCCATCTATTCTGGCTAAATCGTTTGAGTGTACGTTGCTAACTTCCACTTAATCAGTAGCTTGTGTTCTGTTACTAATATTTGTGTGTGGTTATTGAGTCATATAAATTTCGAAAAAAAGATTGTGAAGAACAGAATGACTAAATTTTGTAGCAATAACTAATTTATATTTATGAAAGAAAATCAGAAAGATGTAGAAAACGATAAATTATTAAGAATAGTGGATTACTTGGGTTTCTACTGTGCATAAGTTTTTAATTGTATATCTTTAAAATTTCGAATGAATGTTCTGGTGAAGCATTGTGATTCAAACTAAATAGATGTTCCGAAATTGAACTGCTTACTGGCTTCTGTAATCCTTAGGGTGATGAGGCAAGAGACTGTTCGGGGTTGCTTTTAGGGAGAGTTCATTTTTTGCGGCCAATACAACCCACTCCACAAGTATTTACCATTTACCAGTTAACTTGCCCTTATAAAGAGGGTTCTATTGACCGCAAAACGTTAAATTTCTATTAGCGCATCTCCAAACAGTACCCTACCTGACTGTCCTAAGGATTACACAAGTCAACAAACAGTTTAGTCTTGGAACATCTTTTATGTTCTGGTTGCATTGCTTCACCAGCATCTTTCAAAACCATCATGTCATAAGAATTTGTTCCAATGGTATACAAAGCAAAACCTTTTGCATAAAGGAATCTCTAGCAACTCACTAATTCAAGCATAAACTGTGTGTATCAAAACAACAAGTATAGTCTTTCATTCTACAACGGCTTTAACGTTTATTTCTATTTTCCATTCTTAAAAACCTGTTTTACTCCTTTCTAGTTTGTGTCACAGATATTAATTATTTACTATTACAACGTTTAATAAACTCGTTCTTTACACTCACTAAGTGGACAATTATCACTCCTCCACAAACAATCTTCATCTTGACATTTTTATTTGCCTCTGGATTTTTACATAACTTCCGTTCAATATTTGATTTTTATAAGTAGTTTGTGGTACAATAACCTCGCTTATTTACTTCAACTATTATATTCAGTGCCTAAAGCTTTTGATTATTATCGATATTTCTTAATGACACTACATTCTATTTTATCATAGACTACTGTTTCTAGTAAATAAGCTCACCATAGATACGATTTTACACTTTGAGTCAATAAAATTGTTAGAAAGAATTGTCTTTAATTCCTATTCGATGACTTAATGAATTCCATTTGTTATATATCTATAAACTCGTTCGTTTATTTTCTCTCCTAAAAATGCTAGGAAGAAGGGGATTTGACATCAACAATTGAATCTCAGTGTATTACAGACCCAGAAACTGCTGAAGCACTTTTAGAATTTGAGCAACTTGTTGCGCAAAGTCCATGTTTGGATAAAACTCCTTCGATTGGTTAGTTTGCATTAAGGCTAATTGAACTAACGTCTTATTTAATAAATTTAAAAATACTAACTTATATCAATATATTTTGCGTAACATTTCTAACTAACTTATATTAAATTCCAAGTATCTCACACTTGTCTTATGACATATGTGAGGGAAAATACTGTGATAGACTTATATTTACTTGTATGAAAGAATAAGCATGGGTGGTGATGCCTACTCTGATTAATGTGTCACGATATAAATGAGAAATATGTGAATGTTTAAAATTTATTTGTTACACATAACATCAAGCTGAGGTAAGTAAAGCATCCTATGTTATCCATCACTTACCACCCTACTTTATCAAATGGCTCATGTTTATTTTCTACAAAAAAAAACGGTTGTCATCCACCTTATAAAATAGAACCTCTTTATCAACAAAACATTTGTACAACTTAAAGTTTGAGTGATTGTCTTAAATTTTATCTAATAAATCTGAACGATATAAAGACGACTCCTTTTTGCACATTCACTACCATACACTCAGTAATGTTCCATATAGAATCACCTTGATCAAAACTACATGGCAAGACTTATGTTGATTTTGACTGGAATAAATATTCCCCCTTGTCCCTCCGTACTATTTAAACTTTGCCAATTTAATGTCTGTCATTTGTTTGTTTGTTCGTAAAAAGCGACTTAAAATAACTCCCAAAACATCGGAAATTCTAATTTTGGCTCATTAGGGTATCGAAAGTATATCATTATTTTATTATTAGATAACTCCTTTGTTTCAACTGTTGTCTTTTGTCTCCTTATTCTTGTGTAATTAACAGTAACATTTGACTGTTGATAAAAATTTTATTTCTTGTTACTTTTGTGAAGGACAAGCACAATTTGTATCATTACGTAACTCACGATCATCAAGTTGATAATTTAGTATTAATTGTTTAAACTGTGTATTGGTATAGAAACGTAGGCTGACCAATTGGTCAAACTTAAGCAACATAGAATTGGACACGAGTGTGAATAGATTTAAGATGCCGCACTACACCAACTCAGCGTGATGAAATTAATAAGATGAGTAACAAAGGAGTCAGACTGCTAGTGAAATCAATGATATTAATGATAACAAAAAATAAAGAATAACTCCAAAAGTGTGAATAAATTTGTAGGTCACAAACTATAGAATAATATTATAAATTCAGCATCTAAGCGAAGATAAAGAATGAATGTATCTAAATAACTTCGATTGTCTGAAAGTCATATGATTCAACATCAAGTACTAGCTACTATTATTACGCTATTTAAAATCCAGTAGTTTGAATATACCAACAAGGTTCAGGCCAACAGTTAGTGATTTAATGTACTGATGCGACGTCTTGTTTTGGCTATCGCTAGCTCTCTTCCAGTCTACTCTTAAACCAGCTAATATACCGCGTTAAGCTGGATGGTGGTTGAGAAAACGTTACATATTTCCAGTCACTTCAGTCAATGACAATTCACAATATTATTAACCGGCTCTCCATCTTAATTCAGTAACCTGCGTCTACTCTCAGTATGTGATCAACGAATTAAAACGAAACATTCTTCTGTTTAGTATGACTTTTAAGTATCTTAAAGAGGATTTCTACTTTATTAGAAACACCAAATAATTCCAAGTTGTTCGTTCTATTGTCATCGTATCTTTGTGACGTACTTCCATGGTTTCGCTACAACATTCAAGAAGTTCTGATTCTTCGACGTAAAAAAATCCATATATCCTAGTCGATTTTGTTGGCTATTGACATCAATGCTATAATTGTATTTAATAGTTAAAAAAGGGGTTTAAAACACTCGGTATCATAATCTTTTTTGACAAGAAAATGAGCAACAACGTCTATGGCTTCAATCTGATAGGCCAAAAATAATAAATTCTCAAGATTTGAAACTCCGCTATTCAGTCCTGAAAGAGATCGTACTGTAAAGTACAGGAAATATTAGTCCCTGACTCGTTATTTTAGTTTTATAGCACTACCTTCAAGCTAATCATACGGAATAACATATTCTGGACAAAATATCTTCTTGATGTATCCTGCGGGAACAAATGGCGTATGAACCAATTTTCGGTCACCGGCTACCATGGGACTGCATCTCCTTACGATGCTCCACTGCCTTGTGGGTTAGACCTTTAGGTCAAAGGCTCGGGGTGTGGCCCCCCTAAGATAACCACCTGCTTCGGTCTGGGCACCCGGGCAATATCACAGCTAACACAAATGATGAACTGCCTATAATTATGGAAACTACTTCTTGCTTCAACTAACAATCAAATGATTCAAATTATTATTATAATCACTATTATTATTATTATTATTATTGTTACTACGTCATTATTCGCCCTCTTTTATTCCTACTGTGTCTATACTTATTTTTTCGACTTATACATCAGCTCGCCTATGGTGGAAATTTGACTCTATCTAAACGTTCTCGAGTTACTGTCCTGTTGAAAATTGAATGCTACCACCAAATACGAATACTGAAGCAGTTTTTCCGGAACCACGAGCATCATTCAAACTGTCTGCCTTCAGTGTTCTCACACTAATTCAGGTCGGACAACAGATAGTGCTGGTTATGTCTTTGGAAAGTCTTGATATCGATGTTTGTTGTCTATCCGAGACCCGTATTCAAAACTCTGGTGAAGTACTACAAATTCGCTCTCCATCTGTCGCTTCGAAAAACTTGTTTTACGTGCGCTTATCCGGGGACCCTGTGGCATCTTCGTCTGGTCTTGCTGGCGTTGGTGCCGCACTAAGCGCTAGAGCTGAGGCAGCACTAGTCGATTGGATCCCCATTAACAGTCGGTTATGTGATGTTAGATTAGAAAGTTCCATCAAAGTGAGAAGAAATAGGCGTGAGAAACGTTGTCTTTTCGTCGTCCCCCCCCTGTGCCCCGACAGATTGCAGCCCGGATGCAATCAAGAATGGGGTTTACCACCAGTTATCTGTTCTTCTCCAGAAAGTGCGTTCGACAGATATTGTAGTACTAGCCGGAGACTTGAATGCTCAGGTCGGGCGTCTAGGTACAGAAGAGAGTCGTTCAGGTAGCCGATGGGGACTTGGTCGCAGGGCAGATAACGGGGACCGTCTACTGCAACTTTGCACAGACTACAACCTGTTTCTGGCTAGCACTAACTTTCGGCACAGTCATCGCCGATGTGCCACCTGGCGTCCTCCCTCTGCATTTCAAGCCTGGACTCAGATTGATCACATCGCGATCAGCTACCGCTGACCTGGTTGTGTACAAAGATGCCGCTCCTTTTGGAGTACCTATCTGGACTCTGACCATGCCTTGGTCTGCGCCAATCTCACCTTACTTTTCAGTGGCCAACGAAGTGACCGCCACCAACGGATTGATGTTAGCAAGTTGGTTGCACTTTCTGTTGCAAGTAAGTATCGAATCGAGCTAGTTTCTAGGCTAGCTACCATTCCAACGAAAAGTATAGATGAGCATTGGTTGCAATTGAATTGAAGCCCGTCGGTCTACTCCGGGTGACCGTGAGTTTGACCACTGACGAAGGATGTTACGTAATGAAATTGGGCAAAGCTTGTGTAAGGACCGAGAAGCCTGGTGGTCGAAGCGTGCTAATGAGGTGGAAGCAGCAGCTGCATCTGGTAATTACCGGAAGCTCTTCCAACTCATCCGAGCCACTGGCAGCAAGAAGTCTGGTGTGAGCGAAACAATCTACGAGGATGATGGGATGCCAATCACTAACATCCATCGACGTCTTGGACGATGGGCAGAATTTTTCGAAGGGCAGTTCAACTGGCCTGCTGCTCCGGCAACATCGGTCAGACTGTCCTGCCCTCCATGGCCGGTGACGACTGATCCACCAAATGAGACGGAAGTCCGCAAGGAACTCCAACTCTTGAAGCGTTACAAATCACCTGGCCCAGATGACTTACCTCCGACTCTTTTTAAAGATGGTGGTGACTTTCTGACTAAGAGACTGACTGTGTTGTTTACAAAGGTCTAGGAGCTAGAGAGTGTACCAACGTCATGGAATGAGTCGATAGTTGTCCCTATCTTTAAAAGGGGTTCACGTCGTTTCTGCAGCAACTATTGGGGGATAAGTCTACTTCCGATTGCGTCCAAGCTATTGGCTTCCGTCATACTTCGTAGGTTGTTCAAAATCCGAGAAAGATTGACTCGCAAGGAGTGGGCCGGTTTTCGTTCTGGTCGAGGATATATTGATCATATCTTCACCCTCCGCCAAATGTTAGGACACCGCCATACTTATCAAAGGCCAACAATCGTAGTGTTTCTTGACATCAGGGCTGCCTTCGATTCGTTGGATAGGACTGTTCTCTGGGATTGTCTATTGAAGAAGGGTGTGTCTGAGAAGTTTATTAACATCCTAAAAGCCCTATATACAAACACCTCAGGCAAAGTGAGGGCATACAACCACCTCTCTCCATTGTTCCATTCGAGCAGTGGAGTTAGGCAGGGTTGCTCAATGAGATTTAGATGGTAGTTGGAGGTAGTCAACAAGAAACCCTGGACCCGGGTTTCGTGCTATTTGGCACTCGTCAGCAAGGTGTACCTGTAATCTTGAGGGAACTGGTGCTCCCTGGCGGATTCGATCTCGTGTCACCCAGCTTCACAGTCAGAGACGTTACCACTGAGCTATCCGAGCCGTGACTAACCGCCTGTAGGACTGAGATGTAATCACAATTGATTGATCACTGGGTGGTGATCAATGTCATGCTTGTCTAGTCCTTATTGGTGCAGATCGAATGCTATCGATTATGTTACAATGTATAAGGACTAGACAAGCATGACATTGATCACCACCCAGTGATCAATCAATTGTGAGGGTTGCCCAATCTCACCATTCCTCTTCAACTTTGCCATCGATGACATTCTGAAAACAGCTCTGATGGATGTAAGTAATGGCGGTGTGGGTCTGTCACATGGAGAGAGACTTTTCGATCTTGAGTATGCGGATGGTACTGTCTTACTGTGCGATAATGCCCAAGGCATGCAATGCGCACTTAATCAGTTGGCAATCAGTGTCCGTAGGTGAGGTATGTGCTTTGCACCTTCGAAGTGCAAAGTACTTCTACAAGACTGGCAGGATTCTAATCCTGTACTCACTCTGGATGGTGAGCAGATAGAAGTAGTCGAGAAGTTCGTGTATCTGGGTAGCTGCATAAGTGCTGGTGGGGGTGTGAGTGATGAGATCAATGCACGTATAGTGAAAGCCAGAGCGGCTTATGCCAATTTGGGCCATCTTTGGCGCCTTCGTGATGTTAGTCTGGCTGTAAAAGGTCGGGTCTACAACGCGTCGGTGAGAGCAGTTTTGCTCTATGCTTGTGAAACCTGGCCTCTCCGAGTTGAGGACGTTAGACGACTCTCTGTGTTCGATCATCGTTGTCTCCGAAGGATTGCTGACATCCAGTGGCAACACCATATTAGTAATGCAGAGGTTCGGCATCGTGTGTTTGGGCACAGAGATGATAAGGCAATCAGTGTCACCATCTTGAAACACCGACTTCGGTGGCTTGGACATGTTCTACGAATGTCGTCCCAGAGAATTCCACGCCGTGCATTATTTGGCGACGCTGGGACTGGTTGGAAAGAGCGGAGAGGTGGTCAGTATATGACATGGTGTCGTGGCATAAAAGAAAGCTGCAAAGGACTGGCTTCTGTTGGTCCTTCACGACTCCCTGGTTGGGGTCCGAGAGATGGTGCTACACAGTGGCTAGAGACGTTATCAGATATGGCTCAGAACAGAAGCCAGTGGCGATCCTGCTGTAACCTTCTTTTACTTTCTTCATAAAAAGTGGTTGTATCTTCCTTAAATGAAAGATTTCTTCCGATTGTACTTTTCCGTTCCCCCATTATTACCATTATTATTATTACACTACCTTGCACCAATCTCTTCGTTATTGTTCTCTTTTTTTTACGCTCCTTACCTTCGTTCTTTTTCTTTCTCTTTAAATTCTCATTGTTTTGTGTGGCGCATATATATTGGCGCTCTCTTGTACCAATATTTACGTGTTCAAATAAATAAATAATTTTCTTGATGTTGTCTAGCGTACTGTATTAAAATTCATATCATTTTCTTGTCAGTTGTTAAATGACGTCAGTTTAGTGAATTATTATTACACGTTCGCAGGATCGGGAAGTGAACGTCATTTTAAACGGGTTGTAAGTCTTCCCCCCCACACACACACACGCACACACTTTTAAAGCTTATTGACAGATATTGTTGATATCTATTTGCCAAAGCAAAAGTTTATGTTGATGTTATCGTGGAGAGACATTATTGTTTGGGATATAGTTGTACAACCTCCTACGGATAAGCAAGGCAAACAGCCCACTCTAACTTTCTGTTTTTAGTATAACTAATCAGCTGTTTTTTCGAATTTAAATAATCCTTTATACTTGTCTTTAATTCCTAGTCGTATGTCCGTCTATCTACCAACAACCAATCAGTCTGCTTATGCTAGCATTATCGATTCAATTTTTGAATAGATCGATAGGTCTTTATGAAGGTTTCTGCAGATATTTTCCCTTGTTTTAATGTTATGCAACCTTGCCATTTGCCTTTTGTGTTTTTCATTATCTCGCTTATCAGAACAAGAGAATCATAGTTAGTTTTCATGTGGAAAAATGTCTGCAGGATTTTTTTTTAAAAATAATATACATAGTTCGCGCGTTGATAAATATCGATAATGTTACTATTACAATTACAAATTGATAAAACATTAAAATTACAAACTTATTTAATTGATGTGAATACCGTTCAGGTAGCCAGTAGTATTGAACTGTTACCGTAATCTCTGAGTATAATTAGTCGCTATCAGGCAAGTAAACAGGATTACAGTAGGTATCAGAGGCATGGATCTGATGTACTGACTATTCATCAAATAGTCAATCGGTAACAATTGTCAGGTCATCTTAAAATAACTTAGTCTTTTTTTGGAATATTGAATAGACCAGAATATAGTTATATATTAATTCTGAAAATTGTAGCAAGATGTTTGTTGACCCTTGTCAGTATAAAAACGTCAAATCAGAATTTAGCTTTAGGGAAATCGGTAACTTTCAATTTGAATTGTGTTGAAACTATGTATTGTTGACTGAAGTCTTAAGAACAACAAAATTGTGTTATTTAAGACATAATTAATTGTTTACTGGAAGATGTTCAACATTTTACCAGTCTGCATCTAATTATTTGTCATTAATGCCGCAGCAAAATCTATATGGTGTGATCGAAAATGATTACAGACGTCACACAACGGGAATATTTCTAAGACAATTCAGTTTCCATAATCATGTCATGATAATCACGTAATACTAATGTCTATTTTCTGTTATTTAAATATTTTCTATTCGTTTGTCTGAGATAGTTGGAAATTTCCAAATATTCAAAATAGCTATTGGGTTAATCCCCCAGTTTATGCATTATACACTGAATCAATAATTAGCTTATCCACTTAAATAAATTACTTTTACAAATGTCATTGAATCTATGAATATGTACAATATATTTTTGCTTTAAAGACATTCGCTCTCAGTTTAGAATTTCGATTAAAACAACTGGATAGCATCTTCGTATATATATATATATATATATATATATATATATATATATATATATATATATATATATATATATATATATGGTATTCACACTTAGTGCCTTGTATTGATAATAAGAGTTAAAATTGATTTATGGACCTCTCTGTTAATATCTTGTTGTATGTATTCATTACCCAAAACGCAAAAAAATTAGATGTTTCCAGTAGGTTCAACTTTAGAATATAAACAATAAACGTAATAGGTTAAATCAACCCTCGCTAAAGTCATCACCTCGAATATGAGTATACAACGAAACAGCGTACTTTGCTTTTATGTAATATTCACTTAGTGCAGTGATATATCAGTTATAAAACTATCGATTATCTTTTATCAGTTTGATGGTAAGTGAACTATTAAGATGTTTTATTCTTAGACTAAATATTATCTCTAACATATTTGAGTAGTTCCTCACAATATTTATTGTTATCACTGTTCTGTCCTACTAGAACATGTAAAAAATAAGGAGTCCTTACACAAGGATTGGGATAATTTAAATGAACACGAACTGTTACAACGTTTCAAAGAACAGTATCGGGCAGACCGTTCACATGGTAAGCTTGATCACTATCATTCTGCATTAATCATCTTTTCTGATTTTTTTTCTATCCATTCAGCAAGATTGGTTAATCAGTTATTTCGTTTCCATTTCTGTGTTATATGCTGTCGTTGGAATATCAACCACGAACTTTATAGACATTCTAACTATCCGTATAATCCAGAAGGAGTATATCGTCCTGTTTGAAACCAATCAACAGGATGCGTTCTTGTTGATTTTCTGATTGACACTCAGATCCACTGCTAATTACAGTCCTAATACATGCAAATTTGTAGCGAAAAAGGCATCTACTGAGTATGTAAATGTGTCAAAAGAGATTGATCGAAAACCTGTTTCAAATATCATGAACATGAAAGCGTAAATATGAATAAACCTTCCATTCTGTTATATTATTTACATGGATTACAGTTTTTTTTTCAAATATTTTCATCAGTTTTATTATTAATGTTTTACTTAGCTCGTCTAACCTAAGACGCTTTGTTCGTATAAAGTAATTCGTAGTTTGTTTGTTTTTGAAAATGCTATCTCGAAATTTTGTTGTCCGAAATTATCAGTCGGGATAAGTTCTTATTTAGTAATATTTAATTAGTATATAAATAAGAATATGGAAAAATTAGAATAATTTTTTTACTGGGGAAAGGAGTAAAGAAAATATATTTTAGTATAAATATATTATAATGTCATTGATCACATTGTATATTTGTTGTATCTGTAGTAGATAAATCGGTAAACAATGAACTCTCTGACCAGCGGAGTCCAATCTTATCGGATGTTAAGCCGTTATCCACCGATGACATTGGAAGAAGGCCGCGCAACATTATGAATTGATCAAAGTTGGGCATGTATACCATTGGGCACTGGCTCAATGATGTAGAGTTTAAGTGTTCACTCGTGAGACCAAAGGCCCTGGATAAATACTACTAATGAGTCCTACAGTAGGACGAAACAGTTGTCCAGTGTATCCTGGTTTTCAATAGTTAGCCAACTAAGAATAATGCATGTTGTAAACTATGGTAAATGATAACTGTTTAATTCCTATTAAACAGAAAAAGTTCACGTAGTGAAGGGGAGAATAGTTTTTGTTCTTAGCATAATAGGCTGTCTTCATTAAACTATTTTCATCAAATACATGAAAATGCTTTTCACTAATTAAAACTAATTCATTATTGCTTGATGTGTAATGTTATTCAAATTCAAATTCAGCTAATTACAATCGTGTAAGTATCTTCAAGAATTCGAACCATTGCTTTTTATTAGAAAATCATGTTATTCGATTTTATTCTTTGATAAATAAGTATGTTTAAATCCTATTTCTATTTAAAACTAAGGTATTTATTATGTAAAAATAAGTGTATAAATTATTAAGTTATGGTATTTGCTCAGACGACACACAATTGTTGAATGTAGTTCTAATAAATACTATCTGTTTTACCAAGATTAAAAACTAACATCTATTTAAATGTTCTTCAATGTTTAGTATATTATGGTCAAATTTGTTTCCGGCTTTTTTGTCTTTGGTTGATGAAATGTCGTTACATCGTTACAGAACTTAAATAAACAATTTCACTTTTAGTGCAAAAATAATTTGGGGATTAGCTTAATTTGCGGTGTGCGAATAATTGTTAAGCAAAGACAGTAAATATTAATCAATTTTAAGAATGAGTTCAAATGATCGTGTTCTCCACGAGACTTGGACTTTATGGGTTCGTTGGTACACATTGTTAAACAGTTCTATACTAAGACAAAATAACTGTCTAATGTTGTTTAGTTTTGGAATGGTACCCTACCTAAAATTATTCTGTGACTAATACAGATTAAAAATTCAATCAGTCTCCAACAAAACCCTTCTAAATAAATACTATATATATACAACAGTATATAGCATGATATATATACACTATATTGTTTTCTTTCTAATGATCAACATGGTCAACTTGTCTTTTTTCGCTTTTCAATACTCTCCAACTTTTTCTAGTCAAATCTTCACATCTGTCTCTTCATTTTCCTCTTATTTCTAATGTAAAATTAAAAGAAGACTTAAATATAGATGATAAGTTGGAAATCACTTCATTACCTAATGATTTAAAGGCTCAACATTCTAGTTATAGTAGTAACGATAATAGTGACCAACCGATAAATTTCGATGCAGTTGAAGATGAATTGGATAATATACTACCGAACTTTGATATGTTAATCAATCAAAAACATCAACACCGTCACCAACAACGAAATGTACCAAAAAATGAAATTTTACACAATTCTAGTATTACTACTACTAATACTACTGCTACAACCACTACCACTACAAATATACTATCAAATCAATTAAATTCAACAAATGAATCAACTTTAAGACTAGAAGATTTAGCAAATCTTTCTACAATGTCAAAAAGTGAATTCAATTCTAAACAAGCACATGCAGTTGCTTTAGCAATGGATAATTTGGATGGAATGAGTGAATGTCTTATTAATAGATCATTAAATGAGAAAATTAATCGATCCACACCAACACAAAATCCTACAACATGGACAGCAAAATATACACTACGTAGTCATTTTGATGCTATTCGTGATATTTGTTTTCATCCAAGTGAATCAGTTTTAGTTACATGCAGTGAAGATCATACTTTAAAATTATGGAATTTGAATAAGACTATTCAAACGAAGAAATCTTCAATGTTTGATGTTGAACCGGTAAGTATAATTATAAAGTTCATATATTATTTTAAATATCATAGGTCAATTATTTATTTTTATAAGCACTAGTATATGTTAGACGATGAATAATTTTACTAATAAATGTCATAAATCAGAGGATATTTTATGCATTTTATGGTCATAGTTTAAATCATGAGATAATTTAGTTGAACCACGATTGGAAACCAGGAATCGATGGATAGCTGTTTTGTCTCAGTAAGGGACTTCTCGGTAGTGCCTGTTTCCCATCCCGTCACATGGGAACCTTCGGTCTTGGGAGCAAACACAACCTTTATGCCACTAAGTCGGAACTCAATAGTGTACATATCTTACTTCAATGAATTCGCAATGTTGTGCAACCATTTTCCATTTCTTGTGGTGGATAACCGTCTCACTTCCGATCTGGTTGGACTCAACTAGACATCGTCTGTCATCAGATTTCCAATAATTGCATCTTGAAGCTAGTCACTATCGAACACATAATTATCATTAGAACAGGAGATTGTAGGATTTTCATAGTTCAAATCAAGAACTGTTCTTAGGTAGACCATCATTAAAAACCAAGAGGTCCTCTACAACTGCTTCGTCCTAGCATGAGACTTCTCAGAAGTGTACTTTTCACTATTCTTAGTATCTTACCATCATCATTAATCACTGTTTCATATAATTTCTACTAAGTGAATATAATTACAAGAAACAGTATCACTTTGGTCTGTTTTAGTACGGGGAATGCTTCGACCCCGAGTGGAGCCTCACCTCGGTGGGCTGAAGCTCTCAACGAACTCTAATCAAGTGAGCCCGGACGTGTATTTTTGTCAATGGAAAGGTCTTACTCCCGTCCCTTTAAAGTTTATATGCTAAGGATTCCATATTGTCATATTGAATAAAACCACTATTACTATATATTAGTGTTATTGAGTTCTCCGAACCAAATCTTTGAATTGCAGAGATTTCATTGTTGTTGTAGATAGTATTACCAATGCTTATTTCATTTAAAATTGAGCCTCTTACTTATTCCACGAGCCTTAAACTAGTTTGTTCTGGCTACTTTATTTGTTATTGATTGTCGTCGTAGGTATTCCTGTCTTCTTTCGTTCTTGAATTTAAGTTAACTGTCTTGTTCCATTGAAATCTGACCATTTTGTTGATAGACATTTTCCAAATCCGTTTAATAAACGGGTTCTAAATCGAAGTATTTACTAATCACTGATCGATAGTGTCCCTAAAGTTTCCCTAACCCCGAATTCGGACATTTTCGAAGTAGAATTCATGTTCCCAACTATTCGCATACACTGATTAACGATAAAATATATGTATGCTCTGTTATACATGCCTTCTTTTCGTAGCGTTATTTGGCTTGGATAAAATACAGCGAAGCAATTGTGTTGTTCTGTAAGCTACATTGATTTCAAAAGGTTTTAAAATCTTCATAGCAGTTTCTGAGATGATTTTCACATGTGATAGGACTGTTCATCTCCTTCTCCGATGGTCAGTTGATATGCCAGGGTTGTTACTTTTACAGAAGATGAGCTCCAATTTTTTTGCTCTATGAGAGTACTGAAATGCATTTCGGCTTTCTTCTACGCAGTAGAACATTCAAGATTGAGATTTCGTTTTCTGAATCTTCTTGCTTTGTAAATTTGGTGTCGCCAAAGATTGTCATTAGTCAATTTATGAGTACTTTTGAGCTAGTCTCCTTTCAGGATAACAAATTTATCATCTACGTACCGTATATACTTATAACAGTATAAGCTTACTCAATGCACTTTGTCGTGTGCTGATTTTACAACAAAAGTATTTTCTGAAAGTTATTTTTTTCATTTCAAACTGATTTTATAGCTGGATAAGAAAGTTGACTATCACCAGACAGCTAATTCGACCCATTTTAACCTCGGCACCGGGAGTAGTATATTCACCCATAAGTACACACAGATTCAAGTCACTGGGCATTCAGTTCTTGCGACAAACATTCCATTATTCACATTTCGATTAAATCCTATTTTCATAGTAAACAGATCTTCACAAACCACAGTCTGCTTAAACATATATGTTATCAATTCATCTATTTAACATTTTTATTATTTACATTTATTTTAAATAATTGGTTTTATTTAAACAACTAATATGAATTAAGTGAAATAATTCATTCACCACTCGTTCTAGATAATATTATCATTAATATTATTGACAAGTGTGTTTAACCTAATAGGTGTTTGTTTTCCTGTAGAACTAACTACATGTATGCGTGTTAGCTCTAATCAATGAACACACTGTGTATTTGTTAACTATTTTACATTTCTCTATCAACGGCTTTGAAATACTGAATAGAGTGCACATACATATGATACGTTTATTGATTAGCATCTTTCGTTGTTTTTCACTATTTTGTATTTATACACAACTTGAAGAACTGTGTCAAACTACTAAAACATATAAATTTCCTGTTGCGTGTTTTTAAATAATCATGGTTTAATTGTTGAAACATGAAACATTGTATTGGGATGTACCTAGTTCTTGAAACATATGTCTCGCATCACAATTTTCTATTAAGATTTCACTAATAGCACACTCCAATTAGTTTTAAAGTTGACCTCTTATAATGCAAGTTATTTAATATGTGCCCATTGTTAAGCGTTATTCATATCGTCTTAACAATATTCTGACATTGCATATACACTTTACTACTGGTTTCTTTTTCTTCCTTCGGATAACAGATATATACATTTCGTGGGCATAATTCACCAGTTTTATCAGTGGCAATGGTTCCTAGTCTATTGAAAGTAGATAATTCATGTCAATCAGGACTGATGATTTCACCGATCTATATATATTCTGGGGACTTATCAGGTCGCATACGTAGTTGGTGTGTATCCAATCTACAATTAGATCCTTATGATACTTTCGATACAACAATGATGGGTCCCATCTTTGAAGGTCATACTGACGCGGTTTGGTCATTATGTTCACGTGTAAGTATATTTTGTTTATTTATTTTTTGGTACATTTGTTAGTGTAAATGTTACTTGTGCAAAATAATCCCTTTTTTCTTGTTCACTTGTTACATAATTATCAGTCTTTCACTATAGATAATGAATTAGTTTAACTTCAAATTTCTCGATTTGTTACTAAGGTAGTTAACTGGTAAATCCTGATAAACACAACTATGCATTTGAAGTTTCCAATTGGCCTACGATACTTACAAATGAGGGGACGATTAAACTATCCTAATACTTGTGGTTGTATCTGGGCCTTGTTAGCGGCAGTTGATATACAAAGTCTCAACAATTAACCGTTAACAGAGGAAGAGGACGAGGTGTAGGAAAAATCCATATTCAAACAAAATAACCTAAAATACTAGAACTCAGTATATATAGTAACGAAAGCGTGACCTCTAAGCGCTCGGGAAACTAGCGAACTATTGGTAGTGACAATCAATCAGAAAAGGACTAAGGTCATATAAAATATTGAATTAGAAAAAAAAGTACTCACTGTTACCGTTCCTAGCAAAACAGCATAATTCACAAAAATTAGGAGATTCAGTGATCGCTTTAGCGGTAGCCATGGTAAAATGTTAAAAGCGTTACTATTTCAATGTCAATGTACAAATATGAAAGAGCTTGATTTAAAGGATGAATTTCCAACCAGCTGGATATGAAAATTCATAGATTTTATTGAAAAAGCAATAATAACAACACATGTAATCATTGTTTATTTACAAATAGCTGTAAATATATATAAGGTGGTTTTTCACGAATTTATTTGGATTCAAGTATTAGCATAAGTAAATGTTTGAAATTAGCGTGCCGTTTACCTGTGACACATAAAACAATCTTTGTATAATGAACATTCATGAAAACTCAATTGGTTGTTGAAAGCATACTACTAAGATTACTGTCTGAAACTGATTGATCGAAGTAAAACATTGATAGTTACATCTAATGTAATTTAAGTAAAATGTCATAATAATCCGGCGATATTTGTATAGTCCGTAAAATAAGCTGTTTCATTTAATACTCAGAAATTAAATTATTATAAACTGTTCTCTCTCTCTCTACCTATATATATATTACAGTACGACGGCTTACTGCTTTCAGCTTCCTCTGATGGTACTTCTCGTCTATGGCATTTACGTCAAAATTCATTTGTCAGTTCTGACGTATATTATATTAGTAACATGCTTAATAAGTGTGAGAACATATCTCAACAATATTCAGTTCCCACTTCAGCTACATTTTTATGTACTAACCTAGCCCAATTCGCTGCTGGCTTCAATTCAGGTCATGTATGTTTATTCAATTTGGAGACACATCAAATTGTTAGAAATTTTCACATTAATAAAACAGGTTAGTAGTTTAAGATAGTTTAAAAAAGCATGGTCTAGAATTCTTATTTTATATATGAATATTTTGTTTAATTTCCAATATAGGTTTTCCTCATTTCATGAGTTTACAAAATTTCAAGCTGTTCTTTTAGATATTGATATTCAGGACTGAGATTCGACCAATTTGTTATCATACTTGGATCTTGAATGAATTGTCTCGATATAGTAGCCTTTTAATGTATTTGGATTGTGACCAACAGTGAAATTTAAAATGTTCGTTCCGTCTTATTTAGGATTTTTCAGTTAAATGTATCTACTCCCTGTTTGATGATCACATTAAAACTGAATACCTTTTGCTTCAACCACTAAACTAAAATCCAAATCAATATTAACTCATCCAAAGGGTCTTCGCTAACCACGACTCATATGTACAAAAAAAGATTTTAACTAGTATTTACTGATGAATCGATGCCCCATATTCCAGGTCTAACCGACTGTGACTCAGAACATCAAATAGCTGTCACACTTGGGTTAGAATCAAAGTGAGTGAAGACTATGCTATAACTTTCTATTAAAACACCAATATGGCCAATAAGTAATTCTCGACTACACGTAATGTTAGGTTTTCCTCTTGCAAACATTTTTTATATTCTTGAAACCCATCTTGTGATATCTTTATAACTTGTTCTTTGTGAGATTTCAATTGGCACTGAATCCATATCAATTTTGTCTTAAAAAAATACAAAACTGGTCAGGAAATCTGTTCATAGTTCCACAAACTATCAAACCTTACTACCAAATTATGCATGGCTCATGATAATTCAGTTCGTAACTATTTACTGAGTAGTATATCGTGAAATTCTGTCCCGATTCAATATATATATATATATATATATATATATATATATATATATATATATATATATATATATATATATATATATATATATATATGCAGTTATACAATAATAAGAATCTGGTTAATATAATCATCAAAACCATGTATTGAAGTAAATGTACAAAGGAGCTGTGTTTTTAATATACATGAACTGTGGCTAACAGTAGGATCTATGATGCATATTTCGTCCTATTTAAGATTTAATTACGAAATGTACGTAAATCTCGGTGTCGTTATTCACATTAAGACATAAACCTAGGATCCTTCATTTTAATGATAACGCGTTACCTACTAAACTACTCAATCCAGATAGTCACTAGCATGTTCATTGGGTATGATGTTTATATTATTAGTAGTAATAATAATAATTAGTATTTTTCAGCTTAAATTGTTAACTAGCAATTGTAATTTGTTTGAAAACGATCTTTATTTTCCAATTATTTTGCTGATGTACCTTGTAGCATTAGTGTTCTTTCCCTGATTTATATCGACATTAGTGTATTCTTCACTACTTATTCGATTATGATTTGTGTTGTTTATCACTAACACTTATTGACCGTTTGTAATTACACAGTATATTTGTACATTCATGATATGAATATAAGATAATGTAAAAATAAATTGAGATTACTAATTGTTGTTTGAATTCTACTTTGTTATATCTGGTCGTTATTAATTGTTGTGTCGGAAACGCTTATCACTTATACTCGAAACAAGGGACCTCTGCAATTCCCACGACGCGAAAGTAAGAACACAAATACTGGTATAAGTAAAGGTTTATTAACCCCAAAACACGACAACGACGACCCTAGTCGAAAATACACTCATTTATGTATTGATTGTACACCCATTTTGATTAATAATTGGGATGAAATCACATATATAACAAATCACATAATGAGCATAGTTCATGTCAATTGCATACAAGAATATCGTATATTATACAGGATAAAATATCATACGAGAAAACGAAACCGAATACTACACTGAATGATCATCACATTGGATCAGAACGGAAGTAATGTTGGACATAACTCATAATTAGTAAATCAATCGACTTTTGACTTTTCTTCTCATCATATCAATTTCCCTTCTTTTTTAATGAATACGTTTTCTGTGGAGAGTCTATTTGAAAAGATTGTTCTTCTTTATCGTACTTGCTTGGATCTTGGTCAACCACGTGGTCGTGTTCCAGTGGGTTTTTCAGCTTCATCCACCTCTTCCTTAATTACCTTGTTAGATATGTCTATAATCTTTGAGTGCGATTCGGGATATGATTGTTCGAGTATGTGTTCCTTCAATGCACTTATGATCGTTAATTGAGATTTAATGGACACATCTTCATTAAAATGAAGCATTGATTTTACTTCTGCGACTGAAATTGTCATGTTCATACACCAGTAACCACGTCGTTTGTTGCAACAGCGAATCGATAAATAAAAGCAGAAGTATGTTTATAACTGAGGAAACAGGATTTGGGGTACGTTAAACTGATAACCGAGTTATAACTGGAACTGAAACTTGTAAATGGACTCCGTCAGCTATTGTTGTGGTTTCCATTTTTCCAAAATTTCCGTCGCCAAATTATTATTGCTTTCATCTTTTTAAAATCCCGTCGCCACTGTCAAAGACCGACCATGACAAGGATCACAGGCAGCCATCATATTTTTTGCATCGAACATTTGTCGTGTCAGTTCATGCACAGTCAGTGAGCGATACTGTTGACTGCCACGACTTGTCAGTGGAGCGAATCCTGGTATGAAGAAATGCAGTCGAGAGAACGGGACCATATTCACTGCCAGTTTCCGTAGATCAGCATTCAGTTGTCCAGGGAATCTGAGACAGGTGGTCACTCTAGACATGGTTGCACTGACCAAGTGATTTAGATCTCCATAAGTGGGGTTAGTTAACTTGAGTGTTCTGAAACATGTCATAGAGCGCTTCGTTGTCGATGCAGAAAGTTTCATCAGTGTTCTCAACAAGTTGATGTACAGAGAGTGTAGCATTGTATGGCTCGACAACAGCATCGGAGACTTTGGGTGATGGGACTACAGAAAATGTATTGTTTGTCTGAACACATGAATATCGGTACAAGAGAGCGCCAATATATATGCGCCACAACAGAAAATGTATGTGTAATGCTGTCAGGATATTCTTCTCGAATCTTTGAAATTAACAGCGTTTTCTTAGTTCATTATTATCTACGGATATAACCAGTCAGACTTATGCGTTTAATTTGATGAATTTATTATTTAGACTGTATAAATTTAACTTGCTCGATATAATTCTTTTGAATGGTAACTGTTCAACGGCTTTCAGGTCAGCTGACCAATTGATCAACTATGTACGCTACAATACTTTATTGCTAACTGTATTGCAACTATTTAACTGAACAGCATTATATTTGTTATTATGTAGACAATGTATTCATTTATTTATTATTTCAGATGTCAGTGATACTTCTCAGGACGCAAATGTATACTCTGTAAATTCTGTCATCTCTCATCCTCATCTCTCATTAATAATCAGTGCCCATGATGATCGTCAAATTCGATTTTGGGATTCGTTAAGTGGCAAATGTGTTCATTCATTGACTGCTCATTTGGATTCAGTCACAACACTCAGTTTAAATTCAAAAGGAACATTATTACTGTCAGCAAGTAAGAATAATCTCATCATTTTTGTTTATCTGTTTTTGTGAAAAATAATGATATCTCATACTTTAAATAAATTTTTTGAAGCTTCAATATACAGGTTCGTTTAGTTGCCAACTATAGATAATTTATATATCACACTAAGTAATATTATTGATACTACTATCTAGACAGAAATTTGTGAAGTAAATTTTCACTTCAATTTAATATAATAATAATTGTGTCCATTAACAACTGCTGAGCATCGATCCTATCAATTCTTACATGAATAAACTGAACTGATCTTAATATCTCCTCTGAACACTAATTAGCTTATTAATCAGTCTGGAATTCAACATAATAATGCTTTTAATTTAATATAATACTATTTACAACTATAAACAAATGTCAGATGATGATTAGTAGTGTTGTACTATGTTTCTATTTGATTGACTTCATGGATAGCTTGAGCGCTAACCTCGTAATTGTCTATTATATTTATTTAATTAACTGATAAAATGAATGTCAGTTGATTAATCTTTTGTAATAAAGCTTCCTATTATATCCATTTGATTTCTTATTTCATTGACACCATATGTTCACAACATTGACAATGAAATTCATTTTCATCATTATTCATAAATTTTCGTAACCTTATTTTATGATAGTTGGCACACGTCTTGTCAATTCATATGTTATTCTCAGGACCAAATTTCAAAATTGCCTCTTGTTTACGTGGACTGTAATCGTCTCCCACCATATATTTTTTGTTTCACTCTACGATGGATGAACTTCAGTTGTTTCGACTTTGTCAAATTAATGTTCTAAGGGTTTATTTTTACTTGATTTAAAGATCAAATCAGGACATTTGTACAAATAAGTATAAATATATGTAATATGTAACTCATTTTTCAAGTATTTGTCTGTCCAGACTAAAATAGATGAAACGAGTTTTGAACTGGCGGCTTGGTGTTTATGAACCTTATACGTATCTTTTATTCAACTAGATAAAACGTCTCAGAACCTAGTAGCAAATTCACTTTATTTCATTCGATAATGTCAAAAATACTGATCTAATTTTCCAATTTGAAAAGAGGTTCATAAGATAACATCGTTTTCAAAATCTGTTCTTGTTAATTTTGAATGTTAATGTTTTCCACTGAAATATCTCTACGACTGTTTTCAGCATATCACCTATATGTTATGGTATTTGTTAATATGGTACACTTTTATCTGTGTCTACCTACAGTCAAATAATGGCTTATTTCTGACAATGTTTACATAAACATGTTGGTAAAGAGAAAAAAACAAACAATGAAGTTAAACTTTTCATATGTTGATACTGGTTTCAATGTTGAACTGATTGAATAGTTAGTTTTAAATTACAGTTAATTTTAGTTTCATTAAAACTTAGATTTTAGTTATACAAGATCACATATCTAGATTTTATTAGAAATATGATTAGTTACACACAAATTTGATTTCGTTAATTAAAAAAAAACTCTCAAGTTAATTTATCATATTTTTCTTAAATATATAAACCAGAATATATTACAATATTCCATAACATTTTTCAAGGTCATGACTGTTCCATACGAATATGGGATATCAATACAAAATTGTGTATTCAAGAAATTACAGGTCATAGGAAAAAATTCGGTGAAGCTATCAATGCAGTTGCATTTCATCCAACACAACATTTTATGGCTAGTGCTGGATCTGATGCATTGGCCAAAGTATATGTTTAAAAACTTAAGAAGAGGAAAAATGAAGGAGAGTGAATGTGGTTATAATCAGTACAATTAATGTTCGCTGATATTTTAACCATCAATTGTATATACCTACATTCTTTTTGTGTACATTTTTATTATTAGTAGTAAAATATTCTGTTTAATTATTATTTATTCCATGTTTATTGACGTGAATTTTTCTTTACCGTAATGTGATCAATTATTTAACACAATCCTTTTTTTATTATTTTTGCTTATCATCTTCATCCCAATCTGTTATTTAATACTACAAACTAATCTTGTCACATATATTATATCGAATTAATTGATGACTGTTCTTTTACGTCAATTATCTATAACATTTGCTACCTACTTACCGGTGGTTGAGTTTAAGTACGCATTATCTTTTATATACTGAACAGGCTAGCTACCTAACTTTTTATTTCAACCAATATGTACAATATTTTGTTTCTGTAGTATTTTTATCATTTAACTTTAAAGTTATTATTTTAATAAAATGCTCACTGCACACACTGTATGTTGTGCCTTCAGTTGGTTCATATGTTCTACTGTAAGGTTTTTATTTCTAATGGTTTTAAGCTTAAAGAAGAAGTTTATTTGTTCACTGCATTTTTTCTAATAAAATTGATTAGTAATAGAGACATTGGATTTCAGACACATATACCGCAACAATCTAGTGTAAAATCACGATCAAATCTATCCTGTTATATGTCAGTAACAGCAATAAATTACGGCACTGTAAAATTCCATGGAGTGAATATCCCTTGCTAGTATGTGATTCCAACTATCTAATATACTGTAGGGAAGTTTTTTTGTTTCAACAGGATCGTATAAGAAGTAAATAATTCTATGAATGAACTCAAACATCCGACTTGGTAAGAAAACGTATGTTATAAAAAGAGGATAAGATAGTAAGTGAGACTGCAACATAAATCTGGATGGCAGTTTATAAATATGTGTGTCAATGCTGTGATCTACGATTTCCTTCGCTAGGTTATAAACAGAGGATACAGACAGAATATCACAATAAAAGCACTGTGATTGCTTTTTCTTTACACAATTTAATATGCTGAATGTCCACCTTAAAGATGTAGGAAAATCATGCCGGTTATATATACCTTATTGATTTTTTTTGTGAACACGAAGATAACATTAGAATTTTGTATAGTAGTTTTTATTGGAAATAAGGCGTGTTTCCTAAAAATGAACCCCGTTTAAATTTCGGCAGGCTGCGTACTCTAACTCCAGGATAAAAGTATATAAAGATATAGACGAAACTATTGTTTAATAATTAAATGCATCTTATTAAATCATTACAAGTTCATGTATCCAATTCGAAGCCACGTTTCCTGTGTATGCGAAGAAACGCTGATACCACCCAGCTCCTCAGGCCTAATTCAAGCAAGTTAGATTTTTAACATGTGACTTAATGTGTCTAGCTAGAATTGTTAGTCAGCGATAATGTACAATCGATAGCCAAATACCATGTAAGAAAAATATAACCTCAAATATTACGTTAATGTAACGTGCATAAACTACCCACCCACATATCACACTCGATCATAATTCTATATTTTTAACTATTTACTAAAACTCATCATTTCTTCATAATATATGGATTGACTGATGAAATCAAATTCAAGCTTCTCAAATGATTGAATATCACAAGTAAGCTAAATCTGATAAGAATAGTGGTCATAGATCTTACAACACATAGACTTCTCTAGTTATTCCATAGAGCTAAAATGAGGAAAGATGCCCTAATCAATATAAACTTAGGGATCACCGATAAAAACAGCCTATTTACAAACCAGCTTACAATTTTAATCATTGGCTACATTTGTTGCCAATATGTAGGAAATATTTAAACTAACACCAACGGGGTGTGCTTTTTAGGATTTCGTAATACTTGAAAATATTCATGCCCCCAAAATGCCCTGGTACGCCCGACAGCGGGAACGGTCCGCTCTCCCTCTTGAAACGCTCCCACATGGCCACGCGTATATAGCCTCCGTCAGAGAAGTCCTACTCACTGCGTTCTCGTGGTGGGGCTGCTGTTTACGGAATTGAGAGGACGGAAAGCGGACGTCCAACGCTTTAACCGGGTGGTGGACACGGGGAGTCCACCTAGGGGAGTTGGAAAACCCTGATTCCAAACCAATGGTGCACATGGACTACAGGATCCTGAAGCAACAAATGGCGTATGAACCAATCGTTGGTCACCGAATGCATGGGACTGCATCTCCTTCCGATGCTCCACTGCCTTGTGGATCAGACCTTCATGTCGGAGGTTCCGAGTGTGGCTCCTTAAGAAAACCACCTGCTTCGGTTTGGACACCCGTGCAGTATCACAGCCCTCACACACATCAAATGAAATCTGTGTGGCGAATACGTATTTGGTGCCTCCTTGTACCAATGTCTATTTGTTAAAATCAATATTCATGGCCAAAAATTCATCACTGAACGCGACTAGCTTACTTACCAGTCGTCGACTTGTATAAGATCATCAAATACCATAACATTTTAGTTACTATCTTCTAATATTGTATAGTGAATAAGTCTTGGCTACTGAACACTCGTTAAGAGCGGGATTCTTGACAACAGTAATTCCATATTTACTGTATTTAAAATGGTGATTGTATGAATAAATGTCCTTTGTTAAACATAATTACGAATGGAATATCAGTTAGTCTACATCACATGAATGAAGACATTGAAACAAAATACACCGCTTACGAATACAAACACATGGCAGCATAGTGTAGTGAAAGTCACAATGACCTAGATAAGGTTGGAAGGATTGGATAAAATGATCTAGTTGAATATCATGTGAGGAAGATTCTAATACATAACTGAGGATTGTAACGATAGACTGTTGGGTTTTAAATTGTGGTTATGTAATGAGACTATTGGATAAAAGTTAAGAACACTCAGGAACACGAACAGTTAACGTCAATCAATAATGGTCGTGATACCAGAAACAGGGAGGATAGTGAACTGTTTTCTCCTGGTTTCAAGCTTCTTACATTTTATTTTCTATATTAAATAACTTCCGTTTAGTGAATTTGTTTTACGTTAGAGTTCTTAACCAGCAAAGTTGAATATTATACGTTTTTTCAGAAGCCTTAGGCGAAACGGTGCTTTCACGAAATCATTTTTCAACTAAAAACATTTACATATGAGTACAGCCTACATCATCTAAATGATTTCACCACAGCTCACTGTTTTAGTCCAGAAATAAAGACCGATCCTCTCAACTGTACTACATTTCACATCCCCGTACGTAATTTACAGTACTGATCGTCTTATTTCTGTAAAAATGTGGTTAAAAAACAGCTGTTATTCGTTAAACTACCTATGTATGCTAGGACAGCGTTATTAACAACATTCTCTTGTGAACAACCGGACAAGTACTAAGGCTAACATTTGTACTCTTAGTTCGTCTTTGCATATTTCGAGGGTATGATCGATCTCCTGAAGTAGAGAATGAGGACCCTAGGGAAGAAATCAATACAGCTGTTCTATTTGTTCTTGCTTTGTGAAGAAACTCAATAATTAATATAGAGAACTAACGAACCTGATGAGAATCAGTTTCACGACGATTCCCTGTGCATCCCAAGGTACGTAGCAGTCTGCCAGGTTTATATACCCGTCAACTAATTAACATATCTTCATCAAAAAACCACCCATCCGCAACGTCAGAGAAAATCCGGTGAAATGATCACGCGTACGAAACCATATTCTACGCTGCTTTGAAAATTATTACTAGCGATGAGTATATTTTGTCTGAAAGCCCCTCATTTATGTCGCTGATCGTACACAGAGTTATTAATTACGATCTTTATGAACCAATCACCCCAGTTACCAAACAATCACATTGTCTTATATTACGACGTCACCAGGGTTGTCATAGAATCATCTAGCTAGCATACTATACTACTTCAACACGGTCTACCAACGATACCAATATGAAACGAGACGCTTATATATTAGTTTCCTATCAGTTAGTGTATAGTTAGATCATATTGACTGGTTAACTAACTTTTTGTCAGTATTGGCACTAACATCAGCGTATTTCATGAAAAATAGTTGAGTCCCACTAGATGGAATAGTACGGGAGTGCACTGGTTAACTAGAATCTCACAACACAGACAGCTTTCTAACCACCACTACGAGGTGGTGGGGATCTTTGTGAAATCAAAACGAGGATGTTAATCACAATACAATATTTTGTATGAATTTTTAAAAAGGAAACCCCGTTCCAATCAAAGAATGCTACGTAGATCCACGAGACGTTGTTTAGGCTATATTCAGTTTCCCAAAAGAATAAGCTAGCTGGCAAGTTTGGAAGAGGTTTAGAGATCGTAAGGATCACTGTTTTTACGTCCAATTATTAAATTGTAGTTTTAGTATTTAGCCTGTTGAACTACTCATGCCTCTAGTATTCTGAAACAATATGCACTTTTGTAACAAATTGTGACTAGGCACAAGTGATACCAGGAAATCACTTACATAATCAGTATCGCATTTATTTACGGATTGGTTTAACAATTAGAAGATAGTCAGTATCAAGATTTATCATCTATAATCTATTTAGAGTACGTAGCAACTAATACTGGATTGCAATGTCTGTCGTATGATCGAACCATTAATCACAAGCTTTAGTAATTGTTACACACTGACACATTTAACTAAATGTACCACGTTTGCTGTCATAACGAGTCCTAATGTAGAATCCCAACGTTTAACTGAGCATATGTTACCCACCAAGCACTGCTACAATACAGAAAATGTACTAAGTGTAGGAACATAGCTACGTCCTTGCTGACTGCACTGCAAGTTTTATCTGTATATTTACTGATGAAACGTAACCAATAAGCAAGGGAGATTATAGTTAATCTACATTTCGGACGGAAAGTGCACAGTCCAGGACGAGAAATGTGATTAGCCTGTTCATTGTAAAACCACGACGCTAAGACTATTGGGAACTGAAGTGAAACACAATTCAACGGCCAAAACATCAAGTAGCCTATAAAATGACATGTTAACAACACAGCCTTACCGTGAATTACAGACATTTGCATTCTCGTTTCACTAGGAAGCTTTTCTCATGAAATGTTTTGTGAGTCTTTAGACGTCACTAAATTTGACGGCCCTTAGTTTTCATGGAGAAAAGTTTGGTGTGCAGGCACGGGTCGAACCCAAACGAAGTTTCTCAGCCGTAAATGAAACCTCCTACCGTGCCATAATAGCTGAGAAAGTGCAATTTTACAAAAGTGCTTAGTGCTTCACAAACATGTGATTTTTGATCAACCGGCTTCCCCAACATCCCACATGAACAATGACCAACTAGAATCCTAAGCATAGTTGTATCTAAGGTTCGAAATCTGTTTTCTTGAATAACTGAATTCTGTCTTGTGACAGCAGTTCTAATTGATTATACATGTTAAGTCGTATTCATTATTATGTCCAGAACTCTCGACACTGATCGAGAAACCAATATATTTGT